CCCCATCCCAGCACCAACTTCGCGATGGACCTGCGGCTGCCCAGCAAGGCGGAGCCGCGCCACTGGGTGCTGCGCGGCGTCGCGGCGCTGCTCTCCCTGGAGGAGTGACTGTGACACGCTGGGCGCCGTCGAGGAGTGGCGCAGAAGGGATGGCGCCCGAGGGGCAACGGCAACATCAAAACCGATCCTGACAGCCTGGGCTGCCTGATGAGGTGGCCCCGGGAAAAAAATGTGAAGTATGGCTGACACGCTCACACTGCGTGGGGCAGGCGGGGCTGTGCATGTGTTGCGCCAGCATACCCCACAGAGCACTGCTGAGCATGTGGATCAACACTTCACGGACAACCCGCCAAGCTCGTGTGTAACCAACTAATACATGCTTTTGACTGTTTGCACGCCTGCTGCTGCTCAGAATAGAGGGTCCCAGCCTTGCTGCGCCGCATGCGGCGCGCTGGGGCGGAGGAGCGCACGATTGCAGTGCACTTCAGCTCTTCAGCTTCCTGGGGTGCGCTCATGCATGGGGCCGACAAGGCTCGCGTTTGAACCTTCAGGGGCACCTCCCAAGCCCCAACGTGTGACTTCAAGTTACTCCAACGCGACAAACCCTCTCCTTGCTGCTGTGCTTGTTGACCACCGCAAAACATTCCATCGACAGCAGCAATTTGGCGCAGATGCATCACAGGTGCAGCAGCCACGCGTTTGGGAGAATGTGGAAGCATGAGATTCACAAAAAGCACAAGAGCCGGCACTGGCAAGCTCCCGCGGCGAGCGCACAGTTGTTGTTGCATTGCAAAGTTCCCCCACATAGACGCTTGTGACAATTCATCAGGCTCGACAGAGCTGGAAGTTCAGGTGTGACAGTTGATGCTCGCAAGTCATGCAGCGAAGCTGTTGTTGCGCCACTACTCAACCTCCGAATCAACCTCCCAATCCGCAACCGCCAGCCAGCCGACCGCCGCCCGCAAAGCGTCCGCGCCGCCGGCGCGGCTCAGCAGGCGGTGCGCGACCGAGTCCTTCACGCGCCCCGCCCACGCGCGCGGGTGGCCCTCGGCCTCCAGCCACGCCATGAGCTCCCCGTCCTCCACCCGTGCAGAAAAGGATGGGTCGTCCCCACAGGTACCCAAGACCGTATTGAGCCCCCACCCATCGTCGCCGCAAAGAGAAAGGATGCATCGCAGCGGCGCAAAGGCCTCCTCGCCTTCCGCCGGCGGCCGCAGACAGGTGCCGCCGCACACGCGGCCGCCGAGCAGGGCGTGCAGGCTGTCGCCCCACGCCAATCCGTCGGAATGCTGGGTTTGCGCCAGCCACAGATAGACCTCGGCATCATTCACCCCCCCACAACTCCATGGCATGTCCTCGAGGTGGCCGCCGCGGATGGCGCCCAACATCACACTCAGGGAGACACTCGCCGGGCCCTCGATCCGGCCCGGCGCGTCCAGGGGCCCGACATCGCCGCGGCCCGCCAGGTGCAGCACCTGCCGGCTGCTGAGCACCGCCAGCACGTGGAGGGGGCGCCCCGCCTCGGCTGCGGTCCTCGCCGCGCAGCTGACGTAGTCCTGCATGCGGGACACCTCGTCCACCCACGCCTTGTGTGCGGGCCCCGCGTGGCCATGCGCATCCGCCTCCAGCAGCGCGGCAGCCTGCAGCTCGTCCAGCCTCTGCACGTGCCAGGGCGCGCGGTGTAGCGATGCTGCGTGTCTACGCGTGTCCGCGCGCTTTGCATGCGTGTGCAGGGGGTCTCGGGTCACTCATGCATGGCGGGTTGTGCAGGCACGACCAAATGACATCCATCGATTGACATCCAGCATGCGGTCCCTGTCCTGCGCTGAATTCACTTAGCATGCGCTCCTCTGCCACACAGGGTCTCAACAGATTCAGCCGCCCACCTGGCTCTGCACTGCCCATTGCTCGCCAAGCGCGTTGCGCACGTCCAGCGCCGTGCCACGCCGCACCGCACGCATTACCGCCAGCTGCAGCCGCTGACCCTGCAGGCTCTGCGCACACCAGCCAAACTGCTCGTGCACGGCGGCAAAGTAAGCGTGAGCCATGTCCTCCGCCTCTTCCTCGCCCCCCGCCGCACCCAACCCGAGCCAGCATCCCGCCAGCTGCCTCCGCAGCGCGTCCGGGTTGGGCTGTGCGCGATGCGCCCCCAGCTGCAGGCCGGCGCGAGCCAAGAGGGGAACCAGCCAGGCACGGCCGGCCATCGACAAGGTTTCATGCTCCGGGGCGGCCTTGCCTGGCGGGTCCAGGGCCGCCACCACCGCCTGCAGGACTTCCACCGCCATGCCCTCGCCGCGCGCCTCCGACCAGATCTCGTCCAGAGCGGTAAACAGCGCCGCCGGCGCGAGCGGCGGGAGGCCGCTCTCCCAGCAGTCTGCGGTGCCCTGCAGCTCGCACCCGGCGCCGTCGTTCCCCGCGAGGCGGCAGACGGCGTCGGCCAGGGCCTGCGGCAGCTGGCAGCGCGCGCCGCACGTAGCCAGCGCGAGGCCCGCGCCGCGCAGCACCTGGACGAGCAGCTGCGCGTCCGACAGCGCCGCCGCCCACGTCGCTGCCGCGGCGACGAGCTCGCCGACCCTGGTGACGCGGCGGCTGGGAAACTCGACCGCCAGCTGCTGCAGCTGGTCCTGCACCCCTGGCTCGCAGATCGCCGGCCGGGGGCCCGACGGCGCGCCCCACATGCACAGCTGGGCGGCGGCCTCCCAGCCCGCCGCGAGCGTTGCCTTGTACTCTGCGCTGGGCATGCTCATGCCGCCCAGCAGGAAATCCTCCAGGCGCTGCGCAAAGACAGCGCTGGTGAGCTCCCTATGGCACAGGGCAAAGACGATGGCCGCGTCGCCGGCGCCGTCGCGCGCGCGGAAGGCGCGGAACAGCGCGTCTGGCTCGCAGCGCGGCCTGGCCGCCAGCGCGCTGCGCACGACGTCGGGGGTGCAGCGGCGGACGGCAAAGGCCTGCAGGTCTGCGATCATGGCTGCCAACGCGTCCGACGAGCCGCCGTGCGCTTCGCGGCAGATTTTCATGGCGTCCACCCACCGGTCGGCCAGCAGGGCTGACTTCGCTGCCGCTACGACCTGGGCCCGCCGAGGTACGGGCCGTGCACCCGCCCCCAGGTCAAAGCCGGCCGCTGGGCACAGCAGGCGGCGCAGGGCCAGGGGCTGCAGCAGCGCCTGGACGCCTCCCTGGGCCGCGTAGGGCAGGAGCAGCAGGGGGGCCATGGGCCCGCACAGCGCGAGCAGCGCTCCCACGGCGTCGCTGTCCACCAGCAGGCGCGCCTCTGCGCTCCCCATGTCGGGTGCTGCACCACGCTGCTGCTGCTGCTGCTGCTGCTGCTGCTGCTGCTGCTGCTGCTGCTGCTGCTGCTGCTGCTGCTGCTGCTGCTGCTGCTGCAGAGTTTGGGCATAGCGCAGCATCCACAGCGCCATGCCCTCTGCCGTCCGCTTCTGCAGCCGCCGCCACGTCACTGCTGCATACTGCCACGGCCGCCCGGGGGCCGCGACCGGGTGCTGCGCCCGGAACCACTCAATTTCAAACCTGCAGCACAGCTGCAGGCTGCTGCTGCTGGTGCTGGCAAAAGTGGCGGGGTCCGGGAGGCGGGTGATGATATTCTGAAGGACCTCCGACGGCAGAGCCATGAGGAGCATGGATTGAAGTGCCGCCATGACGGGTCGGCTACAGCCGGGCAGGGGCGTAGGGCGGGCGCGCAAGGCGGGGCGTTGCGAATGGGACGCCGCCGCCTCAGTGCTGGTTCTGCAGTGTGCCAAGCGGTGGGGATGCGAGCGATCGAGTTGAGCGCGATGTATACGTTGCAGTGTTGCGGTGCTGTCGCGATTTGCCTGACGGTTTAAAATGATCCCGGGCCCTCTACAACCATCAGTACCATCAGCAGGCGCAGCTCGAGCCCTATCTGATGACGAGTGGCGCGATGCGCCGGCAGCTGTGCCGCAGCCAAGCTCTGGACTCCGCCCACTGACGTTCACCTACCAAAAGTGTTCTGACGCTTTTGCAAGTCGTATGAATGCGCTTTGGGGCACGAGATCTACACGCGAGGATCTCACGACACCTGCACAATTTAAATGACGCATAAACTTCGACAGGAGATTTCTTTGATTGAAAGTTGTAACACTCAGCTGCCCCAAGCCGACGGCAGCACAGGGCCTGGAAACACAGCGGCCCTACCTCACCAGCCACCTCTGAACCTCACGACCCTGACTCGTTTTGATGGCTGGCTGCGGCACGCCTCCCACCAGGTACAGCACGCATGATTGTCCCACTTGCACAACTTTTTGTGAGGGAGGGGTAAAATCAAGTCACGCGCGAGGCTTTGCACATGGTTTGAGCGTGGCGAAAGGACACCCACGGGCCATGTGAACCCCTCCCATCATCACACGCTGTAAGGGCTGCGGTTGGTTGCTGTCGTCAGATACCGCTGCTTGGAGTTATCGTGCCATCTCTTTTATGTGATACGGGTCCCTGTGGAACGGGTACGGGCAGGGAAACACCGAAATCGCCGCCCCGACGCACCCCGCCCGCCATATCACCGCGCACAGCGACCCTCGCCCTCCTTCCCCCGGCCCCTTCCCCTCCATGTCGCTCGACGACTCCCACCACCTGGCGAACACCCCCCCCCTTCAGCCGCGCCTGCCCCGCGAAGCGCGCGGCCCAGAGCTGTGAGGTAAGATCTGCGAAACTCAAAGCCAAGGTTCCCAGGCACTGCAGGGAATCTGCTGCTTGCCGCACACTTGCCACTTCGCCCACACTGCCACGACCATACAGTCTTCCCCCGCTACCCATCCGGGTTTGGCGGCACGTTCGCTATAGCCGGCTTGTTCGCTATCGTGAATAGTAAAATTGGGCAGCTGATGGTTCGCTGTGTCGGAGGACGTCACAAAATTCAGCAGTTGAGGGCTGCTTGGCACTGTTTGCCAAGAGCCACATACCAAGCAAGTATTGTTTACCAGCATCAGCTCAATGGGGCCAAAGGGGTGGTACGGGTATGGTGCGTTCGCATGAGCGGGTGGCTGCCTGCTTGCGTGTGGCCTGCACGTGGAGGGCGGGTGGGCCGCGTGCAGTCCCACAGGTGCCGACCACAGCGCCCCTGCATACAGTGAATCTGAGAAGCCTTTGGCGTTCGCTATAGCCGTAGCGAATATTCGCTGTGGAGGGGTGGATTTGTGTGGCAAGCGATCGGGGGTAGCGGCAGCGTTCGCTGTAGGCACCTGCCTACAGCAGGGTTTTCGCTATGACGGGGTTCGCTGGAGCGGGGGAAGACTGTACTGTGAGACAGTGAAGGCCGGCTACGACTCCCGGATATCCTGAGGTGTATGCTTCTTATCACACACAGCCATGACAATGCTATGATAAGACCTCATTGGGCTGTGGGAACCATCTCCATGCCGCCAGGTGGCGTCAGCCCTGGAAGATGGGGCTTGAGACAATGGGTATCAAGTATGCAAGCAAGCACTGCCGCAACCTGGGGTCGCCAAAGCTGACTTCTGAGGTGACCCAGCAAGCCGACGCTGCAGGCCTGCGTGGCGGGGCAGGGCCGACGCATGTTCTGCACAATTCCTGAAGCAAGCAGCACTCCCCAGCAACCGTGTTCATGCGGAATGGTGGGGGCGCACGCGCACGGCGAGCTCCACCAAGGTTGGAGATCTTAGCCTGCATTGGCGAGCCGTGAACGGCGTCCCGCGTGCTCATGTGCCAGAAGGGCTGCAGGGGCAACGGGGCGATGCGCCGTAATCCTGCATGCCCATTGGGTCCAGGTCAGCAGACCCCAATAGGGTGTCCCCACCTGTCAAGCCCACCCGAGCAGGCATACCTTACAATGCTGCGACTGCCTTGGTGACCAACGCAATATCAGCGGAGGACGGTGTACCCTTGTCTCCATTGAAACACACACGCATGCGCCAACTGGCCACACCCGTAGTCGCCTCGGGTGACGCAGTGCTTTGGTCTCTAGAGGGTTGCAGCTTGGCCTCCAGCTACATGGATTTAGCCATCAGTGCCCAAGACATATGCTCTCGATCACGGCCTAGTCAGGGACAGTGCTGCATCAGCAAGCTGCATCAGCAGGCGACGCAGGCGTCACCGCCACCAGCACAGGCTTCATCGGCACGGCAGGGATGCCACAGTCGTGCCCTAAATTCGAACATAACAAAATCCTGACGCTTTGACCGGCTGAAAGACTCGCGAAACTCGCGCTGATCTGGAGGTCCCGAACATGGGCCGAGGCCTACCCCTGTGCTGGACAACAGGCTAAAGTCAGATTTGAGCGTTTTCGAGGGCGGCGTGTGGCCTAGCGCCACGCCTCTCGCGAAGTGCCCATACGGTTGTGCTGGGACGCGGCCCGCCTAGTATGGACGTCAAGCAGGATAACGGCGAGCATGGAGCGCAGTGGCAGCGCGCCTGGTCCGGCCCCGCGGGCCTGCGGGTGATGGTAGTCGACGACGACCCTCTGTGCCTGAGGGTGGTGGAGCAGATGCTGAAGCGCTGCACCTACGACGTCCATACCTGCACCAACGCGGCATCGGCGCTGCAGCTGCTGCGAGAGAAGCGCCATGGCTTTGACCTGGTGCTGTCCGATGTGTACATGCCCGGTGCGCGGCGCGCCCCGGCGCGCGCGTGCGTGCGTGCTTGCGTACAACGCAATGGCTGCACGCGTGGCGCGGTGGCTGACGCCTTGCACCGCGGCAGCCGCCTGGTACCCGCATTTGTTCACACACACGAAAGCAGCTGAGTGAACTCGTCGCCCCATGCTTTGGACTCCGAGCCCGCCTGCAAGGGTGAGGCTCGTACCCTGCCACAAGGCGGCGAATTACGCCTGCCTTGGTGCCCTCTCAACCCCCTCCCAACCCCCAACCCCATTTATCACGCTCACGAAAGACATGGATGGTTTCAAGCTTCTCGAAACTGTGGGCTTGGAGCTAGACCTGCCAGTCATCAGTGAGTCATCCCAAGCCGATCCGCAAGGGTTTATTTCGACGGCGTAAACCCGGGCCTGGGCTAGCGGCATCGCCGGCCAGGGGACGGCCTGGATCTCGCTGATGGATCTCATGTTATGAAGATACGGCTGGGTTTGCGGACCAGCCAGCTCTAGGGTGGCATGGCAGCTGCTCCTTGCGAGGCACCCAGAAAAGCGGGGCGGCTGCCGAGGGCGCCGGCTGAGCGGCAGCCGGGCAGGCGACGCCTCCACAGCTGCCGCCTCGAGCAACAGCGCACACCTGGGATACCGTGTGCATGCAGCACGCACGCCATATCCATCCCCCAAACCCACATGCACTCTTGCGCATGCCCCCTGCCGTTTTCGCTACCCCGACACCGCGCCCTCCACACCCGGCCCTTTACCTCCCCTCCAATCCAACAGTGATGTCATCCAATGGGGAGCATGGCACAGTCCTACGCGGCGTCACCCACGGCGCCTGCGACTTCCTCATCAAGCCCGTGAGGATAGAGGAGCTGCGAAACATATGGCAGCACGTCATACGCCGCCACAGGGCCTGGGTGCGTTGCCGGTCAAACGGGTCAAACCTTGCGTTGTGGGGCAGACGTACCCGTGCGCGCGCCAACAAGCGCCAGGAGGGCTGCGCGCCGCGTGGGTGTCAGCGGGAATTCCAGCGACGGGCGAGGGACCGGGCTGCGCGTCGGGCGCCGCGGGCTCGCGTCCACTGCCGGCCGGTGCTGCTGGCCCGCGCAGTCACCGGGCCGCCTGCTGTGCCGCGGCCTCGTCGCAGCCTTCAGGGTCCAGGGATTATGGTGACCCTACCGCCAACTGAGGTTGAGGGTTCAGCTTCATGGTGACCCTGAACCCTACATCGCACCCCCAGGTGCCGGACGGGGACAAGGAGGAGGCGGGGGGCGACGCCGCCATGGAGGGGGAGACGCCCTCCAAGAAGCGCAAAGACAAGGAGGCGGCCGGCAGGGACGGCAGCTGCTCCGGCGGCGAGGTGCGCGCGCGCACGCCTGGGCGCGCGTTTTGGGGAGAATTGGGCATCGCGGAAAGCAGCCGCCAGGGATGGCAGCTGCTCGGGGGCGGGGGCGCAAGGCACGTGCCACGAGCTGGCCCGCACAGCCGTTGGCGCGCGCGGGCGCAGCCGCGGATTGGGGCGTCGGTGACCGTATGGGCGCCTCGCCTCGTCTTCCCGCCCCGGGCGGGGCATACGCTCGGCGGCCCGTGCCGGCGCGACACCGAACGGCACTCTCGCGCCTGCCTCGCACGTCGCCGCTGCCCTGGCGGCTCCGCAGCGCGAGGAGGAGGGCAGCAGCTCCAAGAAGCCGCGCGTGGTGTGGAGCGTGGAGATGCACCAGCAGTTTGTGGCGGCCGTCAACCAGCTCGGTATAGACAGTGAGCGCCCGGGGAAGGGGGGCAGTGAATGTGCGCATGGGGGGCAGCGAGTGTGTGTGTGTGTGTGTGTGTGTGTGTGTGTGTGTGTGTGTATGCGTGCGTGCATGCGTGTATGCGCGCATGCGCGTGTGTGTGAGAGAGAGAGGGGGGGCATGGGGGGTGGGGCCGGGAGCGGCGTTGTGTGTTGCTGGCGTGGGGGCATGCCGGCGAGGGGATGGTGGAGGGGGAACCGCAGAAGCGCGCGGCCTCTGGAGAATAACCTTTCGGGATTGGCAGGGTGCCTCCCATCACAGGCGTCACGTTGTCGGCCCGCCGCCGACCTCGCCCTCTTGCCGGCCATGACGCCGCACCCCCTCATTGCCGCCGCAACCCTCGTCTCCCGACGGCCATGCGATCGTGCGAATTCCAGAGGCAGTGCCGAAAAAAATCCTTGAGCTGATGAGCGTCGAGGGGCTGACGCGTGAGAACGTGGCCAGCCACCTGCAGAAGTACAGGCTGTACCTCAGGAGGGTCCAGGTGGGCAGCGGTTGGCGGCTGTTGGCGGCGGTTGGCAGTGGTCTGGGGCGGCCGCAGTTGGGGCTGGCTGGCAGCGGCGGGCGGGGGTTGGGAGCCGATGGCGGCGGTAGGCGGTAGGTGGGGGCGGTTGGGAGCGGTTGGGGGTGCGACCCCCAGGGCGGCTGCCAGGCGGCGGCCGGGGCTTTGCGGATTGTGTGGCAGGGGCCGCAGGGGTTGGTTGGGGGTGGCGGCGCGCGGCTGGGGGCGCTGATGGGGCGCCGCGGCCCCCGTTGCCCAGGGGCTAGCCTGGGGGCGTGCAGGCAAATGCGGCTGCCGTTGCCTGTTGAAGGGGGTTGGGGGTTTGCGGCACTACGAGGGATCGCGATGTCGTCTCACTCCCTGGATTGCTCTTGCAAACACCGCAGGCGGTGGCTGCGGAGGGCGGCGTCGCGCCCACCATGCAGCTTGGCCCCAGCGGCGTCGGCGGCGCCGGCTCGCGGCCCAGCGTGCTGAAGCAGAGCGCGGTGGCGGCGGTCGCGGCGGCGGCGGCCGCGGGCGCGGCCGCGCAGAGCAGCGGCGGCGAGGCCCCGACGCCGGTCTCGCCGCCGTCGCAGCAGCAGCAGGTGGCCGGCGCGGGCGTGCCCCACCCGCAGCAGCCGCAGCCGCCGCAGACCAACCACCACCATCCGCAGCAGCAGCAGCAACCCGCTATCAAGGACGAGCGCGGCCCGACGCAGCAGCAGCAGCTGCAGCGATCTGTCAGTGTTGGCGCGTCGGCGGCAGCCGCGCCTCTGCCTGGCACGGGCCCGCAGGACCCAGCGGCGGCGGCGGCGGCCGCGGCGGCGGCTGCGGCGGCCGCGGCGAGCATGATGGGCGCGCCAGCGCCGGGTTTGGGCGGGCCGGCGGTTGTGCAGGGAGCTATGGGCTTGAACCCTATGGCGATGATGGGTCTTGGGCCCATGGGCATGCAGGCGCAGATGGGTGAGCGGCGTTCATAGGGGCTGGGGCGCCGCCCGTAAAGCGGTGTGTATGGCTGACGCCGCGGTGATGCTGTGGTGACATCACGGTGACGCAGCGCGCCCACCGATTCGAACGCGCCCGCCGCCTCCGCGCTGCCGCCGCCCTTGACAGCCCCGCCCCACTCCGCGCGCCCCCGCTCATCCGCGCTCCCGCCCACAGGCATGGCTGGGATGAGTCAGCTGATGGCCGGCGGCGTGGGCTCCATGGGGATGCCTGCAGCGCTCGGCGGCGCCGGCATGGGCGGCGGCCCGATGGGGCTGGCCGGCTTGCCAGGGGGTTTGACCAGCATGGGCAGTGACCCTTCGCAAATGCTCTCGTTGATGGCGGGGATGGCGATGTACCAGCACGCGCAGCACGCGGCGCTGCAGCAGGCGCAGCAGCAGCAGCTCGCGGCGCAGCAGCAGGCGCAGCAGCAGCAGCAGCAGCCACCGCTGGCGCACCTACAGCAGGCGCACCACCTGCAGCAGCTCAACGGCCGCCACATGGCGGCGCAGGGGCAGCAGCAGCAGCAGCAGCAGCAGCAGCAGCAGCAGCAGCAGCAGCAGCAGCAGCAGCAGCAGCCAGCGTTTGGCGGCGACGCCGCCGTCTCAATGGAGGCCAACGACTTTGCCAGCGTGTTCGACGACCACTTTGGCCTGCCCCGCAGCGGCGTCGCAGGCGTCACCGGCGTCACCGGCGTCACCGGCCTCGGGCCGGGCCGCGGCGAGGGTGACGTCGGAGAGTTCCTTGATTACTTCTTGAAACCCTGATCAGCAGCCCCCGTCACCCCCTGTCACCCGGCGGCGGCGTCCACCGCCGCCAACTCCGCCCCTCGCACCCCCTTCCCCAGGCCCGATGGTGGCCGCATGCAGTGTTGAGAGTGAAACTGTCAACGCCTCGAAACCATTAACGGGGCCCCGTCCCTGCCGGCCCAAGCGCCCCCTCCCACTCACCCGCCTTCCCCAATCACCTGCCTGCGGGCCAAGACGTGGGCCCATCCCCTCACTCGTCGCCTCTCCACTTCTCGCGCCGCCCGAACCGTCACCCGGCCCCCAACGAGGCCATCCCATCCAATCCGTCTGGCCCCTGCGCTTGAAAACGGGGCCTCCGCTTTTCTGCATGGCAGAAGCTCATGCGACCAGCCTTCGTCCCCGCCCTCGTGCCCGCCGCGGCTGGCCGGCCGGCCGCTGTATTGGATGCGGCAGGGGCCTGCGTCTGCGCTTCGCGGCCCCTCTGCAGGTCCACATCACAGTATGGGCGCCCAGGGACGCAGGCGCCGCCCCCGCCCCCGTCGAC